TGCCTTTAGAATCATCCCGTTGACTTAACCTGGCAAATGAAAACACAAGCTTGGACAAACAGCAAGGTCAAGATTTTGTAGGACCCAGGGCTGCGGAATCGCATCCTGATCCTGTCATCAAGTGAGGCTGTGAACTCAACGTTGTTGCTATGTTGAGTGAGTCCTCTCCTGATTCTGAAGTACTTCTCGCTAGATGTGATGCTACTGGAAACTCGGTGAGAAAATAGTGTGTCTTTTTTGTAGCTTTAGTCAATGGCATTTGCTCTGAACCGCAATGGCTCGGTCTTCCTGAAGTCTTCTCCACACAACTGTTTCCTTAGGACTAAAGAATGTGAACCTTTTATTTCATTTATTGTGCAATAAGAATATTTACATTAGATTATTGTCTGGCATCCTTTCATTTACTTCTATTCAGCTTTTAATTCAGGTAAATCTCACATATATTAACAACAATATTCAGCAATGTATTAATCACTAATGTTATCCTTTAGAGGCAATAATTAACATCATGTTAACAAAACTCATTTCAAATATGTTTTTACACTCAAAATATCTTTTTGTACTTTATAATGCAGTTTAAAAGGCTGAATGATTACTTAATAAAGCTAAAGTTGTCATAAGTAATGACAGCATTGCAGTAATAGAATAGGATATAGGGAGCTTTAAGTCACAGAGCAGTAAACTGGTAGGGGACATCAGAAAGGGGGAGACTCATTTTGCTGTCACGGGGTGCAGATCACAGAGCTGTGACATGGTGGCAATGAGGCAGGGATGTACTTACTGTCTACCACATGAAAAATGCAACATTTAATGGATGTGTCCACCAAATGGCAGAGAGCCACCTGGAAAGAAAGGCAATGTTTAGAAGAAGCCTCCTCTACTGTTTTAGCCCTTTACAATCTAAGCTATTCCCATTACATATGACTACTATCCCAATACACACTACTACTGCTACTACTACTACTTAATATTTTATATTGTATTTTGTCGTTGGGTGGAAGCATTGATTAACAGTATTAATGTTGAATATTTTCTAGTGCAGAATATTCCCACTATTTACCACAGCTGTCAGGAAGATCCAGCATCAGTGCTTCATGGCTACTACATTTCTTCATGCCTTTGGGATACTTGGCATCAAAAATCGAATTCACAAATATGTAAGAAACAATATGACAAAGCAATAGGAAGCACTGGAAAAAAACCCGACCTTTTCTACAACTGTATTCTGCTAGATCTGGGTTCCTTAATAAGGAAAGAAGAGTGAGATAGATAACTTTTTTTGTTTTAATGTGGCATGAGTCACCTCATTGAAAGGCAAACAAAAAAAGGTACCTTTTGCTTTTACTGTTGGTTTGCCAACACCATCACACAGACAAACTGCACTTGCCTTTTCCATGCCAAAATAATGTTTTTAACTGTGGACTTACAGCTTAATCATCTTTCTAAATCCATTAACTTCCACCCTCATGTTTTGTCTCAAAAATCATAGATTTATAATACAAATGATAAAAACATAAATTCATTATTACATTGGTTTCTGTCTATGTAAGAAACCTGTGCAGACTATGCAAGCCCATGCATAACTATTGCAAATCAATTTGTCCACAGCTAAACCTACATCTTTTTGATCAATCTGGCTATAGGAAGCTTTTACACTATATAAACTATTTTAGCTTTAAAACCGTTGTTATCAGAAGTTCAATATTCCATAAAATTACTTCCCTCTTCATTTTTTAATCCAGTCATACCAACTTTCCCCACCAGAATCCGGACACGGGTACAGAATGAAGCAGAAGAGGTGGCCTGCATATATTAAAGTGAGGCCATTGCGATGTGCTGCTCAGTGAGCAATGATATTTTCACTAAATTTCAATCTACAATTTCAATCGTAAATGATTTTTAGTAGTTTCGTTCTATGTTCTCTGCTTTATATCATAATTTTCCTTGAAATGCACACACCAGCTCTGACCAGTTTTATTTGCATAAAATAAAACCAGGAAGGGAACTGAAGGTGTTTAATATTTATGAAATGGCTGTGTTGTTGATTTGGATAATAGAAACAATAGTTGAAAAAATCTCTAAAACTGTGATACAAAGCCATATTAACAGGAATTTACAGATGATTACAATATGAATATTAATCTGTTCTTGGGTATACTGTTACATTTCAGCCTTGATTTTTAATTACTGTGTTTAAGTAGCTTTAAAAAATCTTTCAGTAAAATGGATTTAACACCTGTATTTCTGAGATACATTTGCACACACCTGTGTTACAGGGTCTCAAAGAAAAAAGTGCTTATGGTTATAATGGTGTTTCTGACTTTTCTGACTTGCAAAAAAAATGTAAAATAATCCAAAATAATCCAACTACCATCAGTGCATTACCAATTAGGAAGAGAATGCAGTTTCCACCTCTGGTTACTCATACACATACGGGAGCATAAAGACACAAGCATGGAGAGGAGAGAGTGAGCCTGCACAGTAAAGCTGGGACACTGCCACCAGCACCACTTGGTTTAGCCAGAAGTGTCCACGACAAACCCAGTGTCTCAAATGCAGATGTGGTTTTTGCCCTGAGCAGTTTGCTCTTGCTGTGTTTGCATCTTACACTCTACAGCATTAGGTGGGAAAAACTGCTTTTCCTGTGCAGAAAGAAGGAGCTTTTCCCATGTAGACATGGCTAATCTGATGAGTCCTTACCCCTTCTGAGCTTCCCTGTGTCCTCCTAACACGATCTCCACACAAGCACAGACAGACCTTGGGCTTCCTTGCACGGTCTCTTCTGCTGCCTGTAAAGGTTTATCCTTCTCAGTGGCAACAAATTCTGTTTGTTGGGGTGGGTATCTATGGAGGCTCATTCCCAACAGAACAAAAAACAACATCACGAATATTGCAAATGTCTAATATAACTTTATATTATTGAGAGGGTACTAAAGATTAACTGTTTTCAGCCAGAGATCACAAAATGGTTGTGGATACAGTTTAGGGATGGGGTTTGGCACAGTTTGTCAGGCTTGCAACAACAGAAGGATTTTGACAGTGCTTACAATAATGGCAGCTTAAGCCAACTGGATGAGATCTGGATCAGAGAAAACTCACCACAAAGTATTCCCTGGCTTTGCAGGATCAAGGATTTCACCTGGTGGCACTACAACTCACTTAGGACTTCGTATATATCTTATGGAGGGTAATTCATGTTTTGTTACTATTCTTAATACGGAGGAAGATAAAGAGCTATGCAGCAAGTTTATCTTATGACTTCAAAAGCATCTTTATACATGTTGGAGATTTTATGTTGGAGAGGGAAAGATGTATGTTCATTGCCAAGAGTACTGTACTCAGTGAAAACTGCCAGATAATTTACCAAAAGTGTTTTGAAAAGCCAGGAGGCTACAAATGGTTTTCGGCTAGAATTTCTTTTCATTTGTGTTTTGACTGCAGTAAAGTTTAGGAGCCTGCGCATGAGGAAAATGTCCATGCCCTCAGCACACATGCGAAGAGGAAACTTCCCCACTGCTCTTCCCATGGGCAGCCCAGCTGCTGTGGGAGCATGGCTGCTTCAACCCCCAGTCTGCCTCCTGGGGCCTTTTGCCAACACCAAATTCCCAATTCCAAACCCCAGCGCAAGCTGGAATTGCAGGTGTGCACTTATGTCACTGGTCTAGCCTTTCCCTGGAGCGTTCCGTGAGTGGAGAATTGGGCACGTGGAGGGACTGGCTCCATGGAGACTTTTCCCAGCGTGGAAATCACATCTTTGGAAGGGAGAGTTGGCAAAGAGCAGACAAGCTTGCCTGCTAGGCTGGCCATGTAGATTTGGCCCATGTAAAATAATCTGTAAAATAATTATTGAATTCATTCCTGTGCATCCCTGTATTAAAAAGAACCGGGCAACCAACAGTATTTTCTAGGAAGAAGCAGTACTTTCAGCCTTAGTCTCATCCAGAAGTTAAATTGAGGAATTCACTGGTAGTTTGTGTATTTTTGCTCGTACTTTTACACATCTGAGGTCTGGAAGGAGTAAGAATTCTCTCTTTGTGCCATGCAATGTGCAGAGCAATTCCTGCTCAGGACAGGGCTGGGAATCAGCAATATCATTATTCCCTAAAAGCTTTGCTCTACTTCAGTGAGTGACTAATTCTAGTCTAAGGAATAATTTTTGCATTTATAATAACAGATTAAAATATTTCTCTTTTTTTATCAAAGCTGCAGGGTTAGAGAACTACATTTCTCCTGGAGTGATCCAGATTTCTTTTAAAGTTTCAAGTTAATTTCTGAACAGCGAGTGGTACTCTGAGGAAACATTCCTTATCTCTTGTCAAAAACAAACATGACTACCATTTCAATTAGAATAGTTGTAAGCTTCTAGTCATAGACACTGTAGCTAAATTGCCATTAAACAATTTATTAATTGAAATCCTAGAAGATTTTTTTTTCAAAATCATTTACTTCTGTAATTGATTACTTCTTTCGCATTATTTTAACACTATTTTTTTAGGTTCTTTTTTTTTCCTTGCAGTTCCAAAACACTTAAGAAAAGAGGTGTGTGAACAGAAATATATTCCTTGGAAATAAATTAATTGGCCTCAGCAAAGATTTTTGAGCAGGCATAGAAGATCAGGAAAAAAAATCTGCATACACTCTGTAAAATAAAATATTTGTGGAAGGTTTTGCATAGAAGTTTAACTTAAAATAAAGATCTCTTTAGGAGCTATAGCAGGCAAAATTCACTTAGAAGAGATATCTCCTTACTCTGTAATTTATCTTGTGTCTGCTAGTTCTTGCATAAAAAACAGAAAAACAAAACTTTACCTTTGGAGCCCAGCATACAATTCCCCGGCTGCCTGAAGGTATGACTGTGATGAGAGAGCGTCCAAGAAGGGTAGTGAAAGCAGTGGCAGTTACCAGAAACTTTGGAATCTTAGGAGCATTAACAGCAAAACCACACTGAAGATGTTACCATTAAACGTATATATACTATAGGGAATATGTCTATAAAAGAAAACTTGTAATATTAGGGTAGCTCTTTCTCTTTCTTGTTCATTACTTTAATAATTTCATCTACCCATCTAAGAATTAACTAGCTCAGGTGTCTCTCTCCTGTGGTTTGTACATTATATGCTTCCTTTTCCTGCTGTGATTCTACACCTCTTATAAAGCAGTATAAATAACTAATAACTATGTACAAATAAATCAGACCTATTTCCTCTCAGAGGAAGCAAATTAAAATAGGGCAAAAAACAGCAATGCTGCAGGATTCTTTTCAAGTACACTTCACAGTAGGATGATCATGCTTTGTGATACTCCAGCATTTTAGAATCATTAACATTTACTTGTAAAAAATAGGTTTGAAATATTTACTAGGTGGCTACATCCTATTTCATCGATGGTGCCTTTCCACGTTTTCTACAGATATGGAGAAAAGGATGAAGATGAGCCCTGTAATCAAAGACACAGAGCTAGAGTTGTGCTGGGAAGTGTGAATCACCTACCTGCCCTACGCATAGAAAAATATTTTCAGACTTTGTAATCATCAAAATCATCCAAACATTCTTAGCAAGGAAGACAAGTAGCCCCTGAGAACCTGGTCTCTGTGACTTAGTGTTTTATTTCACTGAATTATCCACTGGAATAATAGTTTTTGTCTTTCCTCCTCAAGCCCTCTCATTTCTATTCTTCAGGAGTAAGAAGGTTTGTGCCTCTGCCGTCCAACCTGTCTTAATCTCATTAACCTACCAGACATAAGGTTCCTCTTGCATTTCTTGGTTTCTTGATTAGCAACAAAACTGGAGAATGATTAAGATGTTATTAGAGGGAACAGAGGAACAGAAAAAAAAATCTCCTTGTTCTCTTGGCAAACCAGGCTTAGGAACCCTAGTCAATCGAAATTAGTTTTGATATTGCTGTTGGTACTGTGATGAGAGACTGACTCTTTTAAGACTAATGAATCTACAATAAACTATTTATATACATATTTCTATTTCCCGTTCCTCATGGCAATAAAATGCTCCAGGGCATTGTTAGCAGAAAATTTGTCTCCATAAAGCAAATCAGTACTGAGTTCCTGCTCTGAATGTCTAATCT